TGGCAGTGTACTTTGACAGTACATGTACTCTATTTGAGTTCGAAAGGGACGTACTTGACTAAGTATTAGACGACTCTTTGCCGTGCCATTTTTGTAACTGGAATACCGATAATAATTAAACTTATGGCCAATGAGGCACGGGATAATCATACAAATAATGACACTGGGTTTCGGTCAGATCAAAATCAAAGGTAGCGTGGGGTTACCGTGGGGGGGGGGTTGTTGAATGGACTGTGCGCCCGAGACAGAGGTTGACTGCAGCTCTTGCGGCGAGAATGGGGCCAATTCAAAAGCTTTACCGATTTGACATTCTTGGGTTCTCGACGTCATTTTCTGCTGTTGAAATCCCAACAACTACGGATTCTTCGTTTGTTTTGAATTTTTTTCATCATTTTGGAGGTCAGTTGTCTTTTGGGGGCAGACCTTTCTGACCAGTGATGTGTCGAGCATTCACAAGAAAGGGCGGCGATTGCTACNCACACTTTTGATTTCGAGAAACTTTTCAGAAATGGCAGTGTACTTTGACAGTACATGTACTCTGTTTGCCGTGCCATTTTGTAACTCGAATACCGATAATAATTAAACTTATGGCCAATGAGGCACGGGATAATCATACACATAAGGACACTGGGTTTTGGTCAGATCAAAATCAAAGGTAGCATGGGTTACCGTGGGGGGGGGGTTGAATGGATTGTGCGCCCGAGACAGAGGTTGACTGCAGCTTTTGCGGCGAGAATGGGGCAAATTCAAAAGCTTTACTGATTTGACATTCTTGGGTTCTCGACGTCATTTTCTGCTTTTCAAAAATCCCAACAACTACGGGTTCTTCGTTTGTTTTGAAGTTGTTTCATCATTTTGGAATTCACTTGTCTTCAATGGGGGCGGACCAGGCTTTCTGACCAGTGATATGTGTCAAGCATTCACAAGAAAGGGCGGCGATTACAACGTACATGTATATGGCGTGTGTGTCGACCTGACGCGAAAAAATGTAAAAGAAAGTTCCGGATTACCGTCCGAAATGGTCAATATGAACTGCTGTGTTCCATTGTATTTATCGAGCACACAACGAACGCCAGAGCTGCGGTTTTTTTTTAACTTTCAAGGGACCGCCTTTCTGAGAAATAAGGCCATGTATTCATTTTCACATGGACCAGTTTTATTATTTTTATTTTCTTCGTATTAGGTCGATACACACGCCATACAGTATACGTAACACATAACGTGTCACGTCCGCGACGCGTTCCTGCAACATCCCCACCTTTCACCCACAATGCACCGCGGTAAACACTGCCCTACGTCATTATGATGTAGGTGCCGGTGATGCACGAAATGGGACGGAAGAACGCAGGGCTGGCAGTTTGCTGCATTGCTACCTGCTACAAACCCCCCACGCATGCGCACTAATGACTTTAGAATTTCCCTGTGAGTGTGTGCACAAGTCAATAGTGTAGCACTTTTTTGCTACAGATTCCCACCCCTGACTTTTCCTTTACCAGCTTGCTTGTAGCACAGTGTATGTAGCAATGAGTTTTTGCACAAGTCTACGGTGTAGCACTTTTTGGCTACAGATTTTCACCCCTGACTTTTCCCCTCCCAGCTTGCTTGTAGCACAGTGTAGCAGTAAGTTTGTGCACAAGTCAACGGTGTAGCACTTTTTGGCTACAGATTTCCACCCCTGACTTTTCCCTTCCCAGCCTCGTAGCACAGTGTAGCAGTGAGTTTGTGCACAAGTCAACGGTGTAGCACTTTTTGGCTACAGATTTCCACCCCTGACTTTTCCCTTCCCAGCCTCGTAGCACAGTGTAGCAGTGAGTTTGTGCACAAGTCAACGGTGTAGCACTTTTTGGCTACACATTTCCACCCTTGACTTTTCCCTTCCCGGCTTGCTTGTAGCACAGTGTATGTAGCAATGAGTTTGTGCACAAGTCAATGGTGTAGCACTTTTTGGCTACAGATTTCCACCCCTGACTTTTCCCTTCCCAGCCTCGTAGCACAGTGTAGCAATGAGTTTGTGCACAAGTCAACGATGTAGCAGTGACTTTTATGCTGCAGATTGCCATGCCCAGGCTTATATGCTTCCATTTGTGTTTGCTTGTGCGTCCGGTCGGATACCCTGCACGATATGCGGTAACATTTTTGACCACTTGTTTTCTGTAGGGCNGTTCCTTGGTACCATTATAACCATACTGCGTATTTAAGTCCAAGCCTATGAGGGTACCTGAAATTTCATAGGCTAGTACTGTAGCAGGTAGCACTGCTACACAACCTGCCTGGGGCCGGGGTGGGGATTCGTTCGTCCCGTTTCGTGGCAGGTACATGGCATGTAACAGTACAGGTCGGGTTTTTCGAGGCGCCATACATCGGAAAATGTGCGATTTTGGAAAGCTTTAGGGTGCTGGTATGAAAGTCCAAACTCTGAGAAATACGCCGGTGTAAGTAAAATTGTCGAGTCATTCTCATTTCGGAAGATATTAGGATTCAAAGTTTGTGACAAACCTACAGTTTGGATTTCAGGCATTTTAAGATTAAACATGCCTTGAAGTACATGTAGGGCTGTGGTGGCGACAGATAAGAGACAGATTGTAAAAGAGAGCCACTACAGCCCTGTTTGTGGGTCGGGACAGGGCCCATTAGGCAGTGTACGGGGGGGGTATTCGTTGGGCCCTGTTTACGGGTCTACTTTTCCCCTAAGTACGGTTGTTTGCCGATCAAATTGCTGTGTAAAGTCAGGCTATTGTAGAGTGTAAGAGTTGGTTAATACTAGTACGAGTAATTTGGACCCGAAATCGCCTTTTTAACAATTGGATGATTATGGCCTACTGTTGCCCAACCATGTCCAAATGTTCAAAAAGGCGATTTCGGGTCCAAATTAGGCCTAGTCAGACTAGGAGTAGGCTAGATTTCTCCTAATGGCCTACGAATCCCAGTCCCACCTCTTTCTAGAGCAGAGCAGACTTTGCTTTCAGTTGTAATTCTACTGATTGCTTTCAAATTACATGTTTTAAAGCAATGTTAGAAATTGAAATACTGATAAAGCATGTGTTTATTTCAAACTGGCTCTGCTGAGTGGAGTGTTCTAAAGAGTATTCCCCTTTTCGAATTTTGGACTCTACTGGTTCTCTTCAAGTCAAGGAAACTTTGAAATCGTCATCATGAAAAAACTACACAAGTTCTTTCAACATGTCATTGTCCGTAGCTTTTATTGGCAACCAAAATCAAAACAAATCCCAAGATTGCCCACTTCGGTAATGACAAAAACTGATACAGGAATACTTATTTTATAGCAATGATAACAGTGGAATTTATGTTTATGTCATCCCACACTGACGCTACAACAGAATTCAGTTTGAAAGCACTTCTGTCTCCTTGCTTGCTATTGTATTCTAAAATACCGGTATAAAAAGTTTTTAGAAAATTTCGCTTCTGTACAAAGACATTTTCAAAATATCGTGAAATGTTATCAACTAACTTTTAAGTAACATTTTTGACTGAAAAGACACCATAGTAAATTCCCTAGCTGGCAATGAATTTTCAACTTTAAAGTTACATAAAAAGTAGACGCTTAGATTTCATGAAACTTGTTACTTTGGGGAAGGATTGCGGAAAACTTGAAAGAGTGTGGTTACATTGGGCTGTTTTGTTCATCTTTAGGTTTTTGGTAAGCATGTCATCAGTCAACTTTCAGACGGCTTTGTGCGCGGTGACGAGCTATGCGAAAACATGCATCGGACTGTAAAATCAGTCTTTTGTCATTGGTCATCATTCATCGATCAATGGTAAAGGCCAATCAGTAGAAAAGACTGACTGATCAATAGCCAAGACGGATGGCAAGGGCTCATCAGCAGAAAATACAAGTACCAACCGATTTATGTGAAAGACTGCTCAACCAATGTAAAAGACTGATCGATGTGTTTCTAAGTTTTTTGCTTTTTTGGCATTCCATATGGATGGAATGGCAGGTGAGCCAACAAACAAGTTGGCATACTAGCCCGTGGATCGGCTGTATGCAAATTATTTGCTTTGATTATGGACAGATGGGCGGGATTCATCACCAACACATCAGCAAGACCCTGTGAACTTGAGTAAAGATTACTGCAGTTGTAAATCTCAGTGCCACAATGCCCAATAAAAAAGGTATGATGTCTGCTGTTTGTGAATGTGAACCGTAGTGCATGTAAAAAGCTGCATTGAATTTAGCAATGCATACTTAACGTTATTGGTGTTACACTAAAGCACTGTCATGACTCTAGTTCTACACATTTGCAGCACCTGTAATTTTGGTCCCAACATAACCACTGCCCAGGAAACCTTGTACTATGCCTTATGCACTTCTGTGTGGGGGCTGGGTCAAATTTTCGAATCGACCGATTAGTACGGGTATAGACCAAGGCCCTAACATGACAAGTTTGATAAAAAATCTTAATTTAAAAAAATTTAAATACAGTTCCTTGCTCTGCTATGCTGTGTGCAAGAGGCTCTATTGAAAGTCGTTGCGACTGCAAGCGTTTAATGTGCTTCTAACACCAGTGTTTGCGCTTTTAACACCAGTGTTTGCGCTTCTTACACCAGTGTTTGCGCTTCTAACACCAGTGTTTGCACTTCTAATACCAGTGTTTGCAATTAAATCATATCAAATACAGTTGAACATTAATACTAGAGGATTATTGAATACATGTGGAATGGTAGAAAGTGTGTGTTGTTTGATGGATGTACATTTACTAGTATGTGCTTGAAGAGCAAAAGCCAAAGTTGTAAACATCATCATTAGCTGAGTTGTATCGTATCCGTCTTCATAAAGAGCAGTCCTGCCGTCTTTCCTCAGACCAGCTGATAAACCATGTGTGCATGCATGTAGTTTTGGAAAAGTCATCATTTTTCTGACCTTCCAATTTATGCCAAGCTTCATTGCTTGTGTTTGTGAATTTTATTATCTGTAAACTTAATGGTCTTTCTCCAGATTTGTCTCTTTGATATCCAACAGAGGACGCAGTGAAAATCGTCTTGGTAGGAGATGGCAGTGTGGGCAAAACGTGCCTCTGTATCTCTTATTACCAGGGCTATTTTCCCCGTGATTACATTCCGGTGACTTTTGACTACTGGTCATTTGAAACTGTGATTGCTGGGAAGACTATCACCCATGCGCTTGTGGATACATCTAAAACGGTATTGTACAATACATACATCCTTGCGGGTTTTTTTTTTTTAGACCAAAGAATAGACTTGTAAATTTCACTAATTTTCTCGTACGCTCTTCACACGGAATGATACTTAAACATGGAGAGGTTTCCAGTGTCAAAATGTGGAGGACGTTTAAGCACATTCCAGCAAATTCTGTTCATATATGTAGTGCCGCTGTGAGTCTATAGATATTTTTCCTTATCACTTGAGCGATTCCCGTTGGGTTGGACAAACACAGAGATTCACCTCAAATGTTTACAACAAATGTACTGCTTGCTAGGGACAAAAAAGAGCCCTTGTTTTAGGCACATGGTCCGCCAGGATTGTACGCAATGCCGTTTGTTAATTGTTCTTTATATTTTAAGGGTACCCGGTATCGACATAAAACAGTTACCCAGTTCCAAAGTACCCGTAAACACACACCCCTACTGTCATCCACTTTTTGCAGGTCCTATGATGAGATGGGGCTTTATGGCTCTGCCTGTTAATGGTTGATGTCTGCCCCCCCCTTTGAAAATAATTTTACCCCTACTGTCCAAATGACAGAAACAGAAGAAATCAACAGCACGTTTGCTGTCAGCCAGCATCTGAAAACCTCTGACCTGTATTTTGCCATTAGATTGCTACTAATTTCTCCCAAAAACTTAAAATGAAACTATGTCAAGTTGAATACACCTTTAAAGTAGGTCAACACAAATTCAACATGCAAGATGTTTTTAGGGTGTTTTTATCATGTACAGGTACTCTTTGTTTGCAGGGAGAAGATTATGATCGCCTGCGGCCTCTGAACTATCCACATACTGACGTCTTTCTGATGTGTTTCTCCGTGGAGCTTCGGTCTTCCTTTGAAAGCATTGAATCAAGATGGCTGCCAGAGATCCGCCAGTACATGCCTGACACTCCCATCATTCTTGTGGCCACCAAAATAGGCAAGTCCACTTTACTTAGGGGAGCAACTTTTTGTTACTATCAAGGTAAAACGTGATTGGCATTTCTGACAGACACCTTACTGCACAGGAACTCTACACCTTGCCCAGTTTAGCCCTGTACTATTACATTATATTATATACCGATCAACGAAAGTGTTTTAAAAACTTTATTTTGTAAGAGATACTGTTTTCTTTCATGCAGATCTTCGTGGGAGCCCCCAGCATAGTTGTATCACATTTGACGAAGGCTTGGAATTGGCAAAGAAACATAACTTGGCATACATTGAGACGAGTGCACTCCTTCACAATAATGAGAAAACGTACCAGAACCGGATGCGTACCGTAAGTGGAATCCTTCAGGAAGAATCTGCAATACTAGCTGACGGCTTTTGTTGCTTCAGTATTCCATCATTTATTTACTGTGGTGCTGGGGATTTACAGCTGCCAGGTTAGGGGCTGGTACTCTGCCTCATCATACCAGGATCAAGATAGCTGGAATCAGGACCAGTCTGACTAGGAGGAGGCTCACATTTATCTTGATCATGGCACTGCTAAAGAGCAGGTTGTTTGTCTCTGGTATTCTTGACATGGTGTGATACCTGTGAACTGCAGCATCAGTCTCTGAACTTTGCGAGCAAGTTCTATGAACTAAGCTGAAAGTTACTGTTACTGAAGTGGTATCACGCACATTAGTTGAAGCCCGTAGTATGCTTACACTCCCTGCTTGCAGGCTTGTGCCATTTCAGTAATGCTGCTAGTGCTGCTTGCTAGATTACACTTTGTAAGGGTTGATTTTGCACCAATTGCAAATTGGCCACTAGGGTTTAGTGTTTTTCCCAGATAGAAACTTGTCAGTTTCATTCATGTGCCATACCTGCAGTGTACTTATAGTCTTGGTATATAAAAGTTTCACTTTTTCCGGTTTTCAGCCAGACTTCTTCAGTTGGTCCTATCCTCTGAACCATGAGGAAGTAGATGCTTTCCACCTTTATTTCTCTGTTCGGAGCAGAACTTCCCTGGCTAATGTTCAAACAAGATGGGTTCCAGAGATTCGCCATGCCATGCCTGACGTTCCAATCCTCCTGGTGGCAACAAACATAGGCAAGTGTATCTGGAAATGACTTCAGATTTGTGCTTGGAAGATTTCCTTCTAAATCACTTATCCACTGAGAACGAGAAACCAGTGATGGCTGGAGGAACCTAAATTTCATCTGTGCGGCAAAATTTGCCTAGCTTTTAGTTAGGGAAATCACTTTTTCAACATGTGGTTGTATGTGTCAATTGAAAGGTGCATTGGATGGAAATGTTGTTATAAATTGAACATGCAGAAGCCATTTCCTAAAATTTAACAAAAACGCTTCAATGAGCTCCATACAGTTTGTATTTGATTTTCCAGTGAGGGATCCTAAACAATACGTTTTTTAGTGTCCACTGTGGAATGTGTAAGTAAACTCGCCCACAAAAGTGTTTAAAAATCGTCCGTCTTGGAACTTGTGATGTTTTATTGTTATTCACACTTGGCACTTCAACCGTCCTCAAAGTACCCCAATGGGATTTTATATGATTTCAAGTGTGGACCTTTACCCACCTTGTGACCCTTGATCGAATATTGACTTATGAATCCATACACATTACCATTTCATACATAGTGTCGTGGTTGTAGCTAATGTAGGCGATAACCCTGCACATCGAGGTATGTATTTCTTCCCTTGTAGTTAAGTTTCTTGAACCTTCAGCGCTATTTTAAGCTGGGTTTTTGTTGAGGGTTTCCTGAATGCTCCTCATCCATTGGCAACAGGCACTGTAACCTTGACCCCAATATGTCTCGGAATCTGACAGGGAACCTCTTGTGTGGACCTGGCTCAGCCATGTACGGTCCACTTAACCTGCTTTACCTGCATTATGTGGACCTGCTCTATTGTAAGGTCCACACACGTTGTAAGGTTGGTGTGTACATGCAAGCTTACCCACAGGAAGTCTGTCAGTATACAGTTTCTTTGCCACACTTTGGCAGATCCTCCTTGGAGTCCTCATCGCACCCGTGTGGTTACATACGAGGAGGGCTTGAAGATGGCTCAGAAACTCAACGTGGAATACACTGAGATGACTGGGCAGCTGAACTTAAATGCGGACGAATGCTTCCAGAAAGCTGTGAGTGAATTCTTGGTAACAGTATTTGTTGCACAAGACAAGTTGAATTTCTGTATGGTGCAAAATGTCAATTGGCTGTCTGTGAATATCCAGGTGGAGGCTACACAAGAAGTAAAGGAAAAGGCGTGTTACAATGGAGAAATGATGTTTTCTTTCATGTGGTATGCTAGCACTTGGACAGCTTTTAATTGGCAAACAGGATACCGAGATAACAAGAAGAATTCTTGAGTGAGGCAGAGCGTAGAGGAATACTTCACAGAATTATGTGGATGTTGTGTGGAGTGTCTGGATGTTGTGTGGAGTGTG